AAAAAAAAAAAAAAAAAAAAAAAACCTAAGTGACATTACTCCTTCAACACTTCATTTCTTCAGCATCAGTGTTTTAGGTTTTTTTAACCTTATTTTTCATTTCCATCCCAGTCTTTAAGCTCCTCTCTTGTCATATGAGAAATTCTATTCTTACTGAAATGTCCTTTGATATTGAGACACCAAATTTCTAAACCTCTGCCTTCCTAGATATCTGCTCACAAAACATTAAGGATTGAGAACTTTCTGTTGTGTCATTTGTCATTTCACTGTGATGTTCATTGATGATGCTGGAGCAAAACCAACAAGGGCCATTAAATCATTGCCCCTTCCAAGCCAGGCACAGTGGCTCACGCCTGTAATCCCATCACTGGGAGGCTGAGGTGGGTGGATCACTTGAGACCTATTCAAGACCAGCCTGGCCAACATGGCAAAACCCCACCTCTACAAAAAGTACAAAAATTAGCCGGGTGTGGTGGCATGCACCTGTAGTCCCAGCTACTTGGGAGGCTGAGGTGGGAGGATCACTTGAGCCCAGGAGGCACAGGTTGCAGCGAGCCGAGATCACGCCACTGCATTCCAGCCTAAGCAACAGAGCAAGACCTTGTCAAAAGAAAGAAAGAAAGAAAAAAGAACAAAATCACTGCCCCCTCCAAAAAAAATTACAAATTAGGAGGGCAGAGGAGAGAAAAGGGGTTGTGTTTCAGTAGGGATTTCACTGTTGCTTCAGCATGGACAAGGATTGAATGCTGAAGGCTGCCACTTTATTGTGTTTGTTTTAAAATCAGATTATTGGCTAGACACAGTGGCTCACACCTGGAATCCTAGCACTTTGGGAGGCCAAGGAAGGAGGATTTCTTGAGGCCAGGAGTTCAAGACTAGCCTGGTTAATATAGCAAAACCCCATCTCTCCAAAGAAATAAAGAAATAAAGAAAATCAGATCATTGAAAAGAGAGTCTGGATGTGAGATACCAAAACCCAAGAGCATAGAATTCCCAAAGCCCAATCCCACAGCTCTCAGGATCACAGCACGTGCGCTGTGCATACCTACAGCTGCTACCTGTAGAAGCAATCACATCTGCTGCTTGCTAGCGTGGTTCATGTCAGTTCCACTGATGTTCAGCCTCTTGTCTGTTGGGCGTTGGTTTGCCCACACAGCAGCGATAACTCAGACTTCAGTGGTTAGTAAGAGACTGAGATACTTGTCCATAAGAACTGGCTTCAGGGTCACCGTTTGTATGTCCAGGTTTGAACACACTGATCTGATCTGTCTGAAAGAGCTGTTGTTTCTAGTGTTAATGGTGAGTTGTTCCTTTCCAAGGAGAAACGGGACAGTGTGAAGGGGAACTTCAAAGTCAACTTGGAAAGGAAGAGAGAGACAGACAAACCAAGCATGTAACCCATTAAGAAAACTTTCAGTGCACTAGCCCTATTTTTGTATGGTATTTGTGTTTTTTAACCATAGTCAAATTCAGTTTTTAACAGTCTCACTCTGTTATCATATTAGTGACTGTACTGGGAATACTTTTGAAACTTGCAGAGAACAGGATTCTTTCTGGCGGCCCCTGCTGAGTTGGCGTGTGTGTGTGTGTGTGTGTGTGTGTGTGTGTGTGTGTATCGGGGAGAGGAAATCGTAGGTCCAGTATGGACCCAGAGCTAAGGGGAATCTTGGAGAGTAGTGGAGAGGAAATCGTAGGTCCAGTATGGACCCAGAGC